TGTGTATGAATATACATCTATATACAGTATCTATAATATATATATAGATAGATAGATATAGATATAGATCTATATATATATATATATATAGATCTATATCTATATATATAATGATTTTACACCAAATCCACATGAGAGTTGGATGTTTAATGTCTTTTACAAATGCATTCATGAAGGGAACACACTCATTACTTGTTTCATGTTTTGATGTTTGCTGCTAAAATATTATATCTGTTTTAACACGTTGATGTCATTTTAAAAGTTGTATTGCAATGCTTCTAAATCTGTAGCTCTCAATAAAACAATCCCTGCCATGAAGGTCCCTGCTTAGGAACTTTCGGTTAAAGAGTAAAAATACTCTGTCCCTGTCTCCCAACTGTGTTTCTGTGTTGTCACCCTTCCTATGGTGACTGTAAGTGACCATTCTAACACGCAATACACAGTCATGGTCCACAGTTGTCACCATCGGGGAAACCCGACCTGAGAAACTCCAATGTAGCCATTGCTGGAGTTATGAAGAACAAAAGAAAAAAAAATCCCCAAACCTCCGCAGCCAATCAGGAACCTGGGTGATGGGTCATGACCTCCCACACAGCTTCCTGACTGGGTGTCGCTAGGCAGTGTGAAGCCAGCTTCCTAGTCAATTACGAAGTGGGGCAGTGGGCCATGACCCACATCCTGGCTTCCTGATTGGCCGGGAAGCTGGCACTATGCTACCTCGTGGCACTTCCCGTCAGAGGGTCAGGATCAGAGCGTTTGGGCGAGTAGAAGTACTAAATGCTCAGTATTGGCATTGATACAGATACCAGTATTGGTGCATCCCTAATAATAATAATAATGATAATAATAATAAAGCACCGATGGGAAGGGGGTGACTTATAAACCATTCACCCAACAAACAGCTAAGTAAATTAGAGTTGTATCACACTATGGCCACTAGGTGGAGCTAATGAGCATAATAAATTCCTATGGTGCTCTGCTCCATCTAGTGGCCAAAATGTGATGCAACTCTCACTCGCATATCACTTCGCTGAGCGAATGGTGTATGTCACCCCCCCTTCCTGTTGGTGCTTTATCAATAAACCAGAAATAGACTAGGCAGAGGAAAACCAGGCGCAGCATAGTGTAAAGAGGGGAAAAAAGATCCGTTTTCTAGGTCGGTTGATTAATCTTCAGCTTTTCTGTGTACGGCAAACTCGGTTGGCTCATATTTGCTGACATGTTCAATCGATGGCCAAACACGGAGAGCCGTTTGATAGGTCAGAAAACGCAATTCTTGTTTCTGCACTTCCCCACATGTTTCCACTGACAGCTCTGTAATAAGACAGCGTGAATCAGCCTTTTGTCGTGGCGCCAACGTTCAAAGGGATGAGTTTCGCCATCTTCCGATATAACGAAATCAGTTTCTTCTGAATCTTACATGTATATTCTTGTTATCAAAGGGAAGGAGAGATCTGCGTTGTATTGGTCATTTCCATGTGCTGCTGCCAAAAATGACAAACATCTGACTGCGGAGAGCAGACTGTCAGGCTGCGCAGTAATTCTATTTAAAAACGGGTTTTTTTTTTTTTTTTACTGAGAAGACCAAAACAGGACGGCGAGCCAATAGAATAAGTGATTGCTCACCTTATATCTTGGCAGGAGCTGCCGCCATTGCTCTGTGGATTTTGAAATTCATTTTGGATTTGAGAGTAAGCCCGCAGCAGCAAGGTGTTGGCAGCTCGTAGAAAACGTGGAGGATCGTGCAACTCCCACTGTGGATTACCAAACAGCCTTTTTTTGTTGGTTTCTTGCTAACAGTTTCTGTCGCAGAGAACATTCTGAGTCCATGGTATCATATTCAAAAGGCGTTAATTGTCTGCTTTATGATACAGTGCAGATTTAGATGTGGCAGCTGCATTAGTTTTCCTTTTATAGGCTTTTTTTTTTTTACCCTTTTGCTTTCACTTGCTGGTAATACAATTCCTGTCCTAGGGTGACAACGCTCATGTGCTGTGCTGTATATATAGATGTGTAGTGTCTGTTTGCGGAGGGAAATGGGAGCAATGATAGCTAGTAAGAGTGCAGCAGAGGAAGTTATCCGTTAACAGGATTTCAGGTATTTTTTTGCACTTGTCAAACAGATATAACAACTTGGTTTCAATGGTATAGTCAACAGACCAGAAGGAAGCAAAAACGGGATGTTCATTGTTATGCCTCATTCACACGGGAAACGGCCGGCAAGTACAACTCCGTGCTGCGTGCACGGCCGTATCGGGCAGCTCCCGGGAAGGACAGGTGCTGCGTGTGATTAGTACGCAGCCCCCGTCCTTCTCTTTGGGAGTATGCGACCGTATGCCACCCTGTGCTCATCCGCCCTGCATAGGGTTGCCACCTGTCCAGGATTCACCCGGACAGTTCGGGTTTTGAATGCTGTGTTCGGGTTTCATGGCAGCAGAAACCCGGACACAAGATGTCAGGCAGACAGGGGCAACCAAAATTAAGATTGCGGCTACTGGCCCCCCCACTGAAAATAGTCTCAACTGTGATATTTACATATGAATGGCTGGCACTATTTACATATGAATAAGCCGCGACTCGTTCTCCCAAAAATTTCCGTGTGTCGCTAGAGTGTTCGGGTTTCGCTTGAAGAAAAGGTGGCAACCCTAGCCCTGCACGTCCGTGCGGGTGCGGGTGAGCGTACTCGTATGCTGACAGGATGGATCCTGTCTGTGTTCGAGCCGGGACACCCGCACCCACACGGACCTGCACTTGAGGTGAGCGTAGGGTGGCGTACGGCCGCGTACTCCCATAGAGAAGGACGGGGGCTGCGTACTAATCACACGCAGCACTTGTCCTTCCCGGGAGCTGCCCGATATGGCCGTGCACGCAGCACGGAGTTGTACTTGCCGGCCGTTTCCCGCGTGAATGAAGCCTAAGGGTTTACAAACACATTTGGCTTGGTCTGTTTCCAGGTGACATTATGGGGCCACCAGCGTCTTAGCAACCAATGAAAGCCACCAGTCAACCAATGACGCTGTGCTGCTCCGTTTGGTGGCATGCTAGCAACCAATGGCGCTGTGCTAGGACATAGGTGGCCCTGGATTCAGTTCACTTGGACATTCGAGGAACCCATATTTCCGGCTGGGGTCAGCAATCACCCAAGTGAACCGATTTAAGCCCAGTTCGCTCATCACTAATAGGGAGTGGGTGCAGACCATTGAGGCTCAATTCATGATGCTAACACACCAGGATACGGATACTTGTTTTCCAGAAAGCGACAGGTATTTTCAGCTGAGTCCCACAAGATGTAAAAATAACTGTCACACAGATAAATTAAAGCGCGTTATCCTTGTGTTAAAGCTTTGAGCCTATTGCAGGTGAGAGTGTTGGGTTTACAAACACATTCGCCTTGGCCTGTTTCCAGATGAAGTTGTGGGGCCACCAGCAACTTAGCAATCAATGAAAGCCACCAGTCAACTAATGACGGCGTGCTGCTCCACTGGTAGCATGCTAGCAACCAATGGCGCTGTGCTAGGACAGCCCTGGATTCAGTTCAGATTCAGTTCAGATTCAGGTGGCCCTGGATTCACTTCACTTGGATATCCACTAGTAGGGAGTGGGTGCAGACAGTTGAGGCTCAATTCACAAAGCTAACAACAGGGGCGCCCCGAGGCCTGGTGACACCCCGCCATGTCATCATTGCGCGTGACCTCACCTCGCGCATGAGCAATGACATCATCACACATGCGCGGCCATCTGATTTATGTCTGCCGGCAGCCATCTTGGGGATGATGCCGGCAGAGAGAGGAGGGGACATTCACCCAGCGGGCTGACGTATGCCGCCGGGCCCCTTACTCTCTCCTGACACTGTTGGGCTCTGACCATGACCGAGTGCCCGACTTTGTCCAGGGGGGGTGACACCAAAATGACTGTCAGTCATTTTGATGTCACCCCTGCAATGGTGACAGCTGGGTGCGGGCCACACCCCCGCACCCCCCTTGTGACGCCACTGCTAACACACCAGGATACGGATAATTGTTTTCCAGAAAGTGACAGGTATTTTCAGCTGAGTCCCACAAGATGTAAAAATAACTGTCACACAGATAAAGCGCTTTATCCTTGTGTTAAAACTTTGAGCCTATTGCATGTGAGAGTGTTGGGTTTACATTTTAACTTCTTTCCCACTAAAAGCAGCAATTTGGTGTTCCCAATGATTAAAAAATTAGTTGTTTAATTCAACTGGAGATCTTTTTTAAGTGGAAAAAACCCCCCA